CGCGTGGGTGCGTGTGCGTGTGTGCTGTGCGATATGTGTCTGTGTCCTGTGCTCTGCTGCATGCCTATGTGTAGTGTGTGCTGCTGTGTTTGTGTGGCCGTGTGGTGTGCAGTGTCTGTGTGTGAGTGTGTCGGCTGTGTCCTTGGTCTGTGTCTGTCTGCTCATCTCTGTTCTGTGCCGTGCGTGCGTGCGTGCGTAGCGTGTGTGCTGTTTGCGTGCTGTTCGTGTGTGTGTGTGTGTGTGTGTGTTGTGTGTGTGTGTGTGTGTGTGTGTGTGTGTGTGCTGTGTGTGTGCTGTGTGTGTGTGTTGTGGTGTGTGGTGTGTGTGTGTGTGTGTGTGTGTGTGGTGTGGTGTGTATGGTGTGTCGTTTAAAGATGGACAAGATAAATACTGTCTAATATGCATTCAAGGAAGTCGGGCATGAAATTGACCTTCCGTGTGTAATATGTGCTGTCGTCTGTAATGTCTATGCTAATGCGAATTCATATTTGACCTTATCACTCGAATACACGCACACGCACAGCGATAGCACGCACGCAACAGCAACGCACGAACGTCTGTACGCACGTACGCACAGCACCACACGCAACGCACGCACGCACGGACACGCGCCACGCACACGCCGTACGTCACCGCATCGCACACGCACACCGCACCACGCGTACGCACGCCAACGTACACGCTCACGCACGACGCGCGTACGCACGCCACGCACACGCCACACCGCGTACGCACGCACTTAGCTTGCACGTAGACGACTGTCTTCCTTACACACAGCAGTAAGCTTCAGGTTAACTGAGCCGAATCTCGCGCTATCTCGGCGAATAATTCATAAAAAACAACTTCAGTCCTATCCATACACAGCTTCTCTCTCTCTCTTTTTTTCTCATCTCTCTTTACTTCATCGCTTCTTGACGAGTCACGACAGCGACCTAGAGTAGGTGGTCGACACTATATACTCTTGTTTCTGTATCCAGTTTTAACACGCGTGGGTCAACGTTGACAACCAGCTTGGAGGAGCATGTGGCGCCGCGTTAGCTATCAACCGTATCAAATAAATTCTAGTCGTTTAATCTATCTGAGTAAGGAAGGCCATTACGGAATCTATAAAGCTGTGTGCTGCTGGCTTGTCGTCGACGATATTGTGCGTGACTGCCGATATGCTGAGTCAGATTCGGACAATCCAAACTAACGCGTACACGCACGCCACGCACGCCACGCACGCACGACGCACGCACCCACGCACGCACGCAGCGCCACCGCCATACACACGCTCAATAGTATCCATACGGAACACTCAGGCACGCAGGCACGCACGCACGTGTACCACACGCCGAATATCATCTATACCTGAAACACAGGTACGCACGCACGCACGCACACGCACACACACACACACACACACACACCACACACACACACACACACCACACACAACACACACACAACACCCACACCACACACACACACACATACACACGCACGGCACGCACGCACCGGCATGCACGCCACGCAACGCACGCCCGCGCGCATTCCTTCTTAGCCGTAAGTGCCTGCCTGCTTTATAGAGAAGTGCGTCGTTGCCAACCATGCATGTCAGGTCCGGTAACCCTCGCTTACACTAATAGGCGTTTCCGCAATGCATGGTGCGTATATATATATAAGTATATATATATAGAGAGAGAGAGAGAGAGATGATCCAGAAGAGAGAGAGAGACAGATGAAGAGAAAGATAGATAGATGAGATAGCATAAGATAGATAAGATAGATAGATAATAGATAGATAGATAGCATAGATAGATACGATAAGATAGATAGATAGATAGATGATAGATAGATAGATAGATAGATAGATAGATAGATAGATAGATAGCCATAGATAGATAGATAGAATAAAAAATAAGTAGCATAAGATAGATAGATAGATTAGATGAATAAAAGATTTAAAAAAAAGTAGATAGATAGATAGCATAGATAGATAGATAGATTAGCATAGCATAGCATTAGATAGATAGATAACATAGATAGATAAGATAGGACAGATAGATAGAGGAGATAGATAGATATAAGAGTGGGTAAGCATAGGAGAAGAGCCGCGTTATAGTTAGTAGAAAACAGGGGGGGCGAGAGAGCAGAGAGCAGAGCGAGAGCAGAGTGAAGAGAGACGGAGAAATAGAGAAGAGCACAGAAAGAGATAGTGAGAGAGAGCGAGAGAGAGAAGAGATGAGAAAAATATGCGAGAGGGGAATAGCGAGAGACGACTAAGGAGAGAGGAGAGAAGAGAGAGAAAAGAAAGAGAGAAGAACAAAGGAAGCTCGCAAGAGAAAAGTAATTATAGTGTCTGCAAGCTCACTGAGAAATAACCTACTCTAACAGCGATACGACTTACGAGTGTGACGGAATATCGAACACGCAAAAATGATAGTCATCACAGCATCATCTACATCCCCAGCACATCCCGCACACCGCGCTATCAATACCTTGTAGTCATAAACATGTA